AGGACATCATAAACAGCAAGTTAATCTCTACCTACAGACCAAACAACATATGATCAAAACACACATTTCATCACTAAGCAGCCATTGCTACAAGGGGGACAGTAGATATCAAAAATGGAGCTTGGTTTTCAAAAACAACAGAAGCACTTTATTTTACCATTAAAATCTGCTTGAATGTGGGCACCTGCATGTGCGAAACCTTCAGGTCCATATATTTATCAGTCTTCTGATAGACTGTTGTGGTTATAAGCTAATGCCTAACCCTTTAACTCCCATGAGTGACAAAGAAAGGATTTCTCCTTACAATATCAGTACATATCAAGCAGACAAGTGATGAGAATAAAGAAACATAGGGAATATTGTTTGATCCAATGAGAATTCTCCAAACTAACATCATAGGAGTTGTATGACAGACAGTAGGGCGAATTACTAAAATAATTGAGATCTTGGAAGTGAACTAGTGAAGTTAGTGAAACTAAAGAAAACCAGGGTTGAAAGAACCCTACATAGGACGAAATCACATGTTTCCGTATTCCTGAAACGTGGTGGAAACATGCAACTCCATGTTTCCGTTATGTTTAACATGCACAAAAAGTGGTCCGGTTCCGTTGTATACGCAGCAACGGAAACGCGAGAAAACGTCACGAAACCGGTAACGGAAACACAGGTTATCCGTCGTGTTTCCAGAACGGTTTATCATGTTTCTGCCACGTTTCCGTTTACGGATTCTTGCAATTTCGTCCTGTGAGCTAGTAACAAACACCTCATTCATTCTTCCATTTATCGCTCCAGCACCTAGTGCACAATTGCTTTGAATTCATAAATACCATCCTGAACAAAAAGTCAAGCCCTCACCTTATCATCAGTCAGGTTTTTTGACAGACCTTCAACTGCATCAGGATAATCAGTCAAAAACCAAGGAAATAAAAGGTTAAAGTTGTCAGGATCATCAGTAGATAGACGACATGCAAGACCAAGATGATGAAGAAGTTCAACCATCTGGAGAAACATGGCTTCATCTAGTTCAATCTCTGCCCAGAGACATCTGCAAAATCAGACAAGACACATCAAATGCACTTTTTTTTTAACTGGCAAGGTTGTTCAATAAACAATATGAATAACTGAAGTACATAAAATGTAACACTGAGTATACAGCCTACACTTTTACAAGTGAGGGCATTCCCTTTTCCTCCTTCCCCTCTAATATTGTTCGTTGCCAGGAAATCCTTTAGCCTGCAAAGCAGACTCCTTTAAATAATATAGGAGAAGCAAGAATTCCGCAGAAATAATATGAATGTATGAAGTGAAAGGGACAATAAAAACTAACACTGTGAGAGAGGAGGAGGGAATAAATATGGAATGACAAGCCTGCTGTTGAGGGCAGACATTTTTTCTGAGTGCTGTGCATCTACAAATTAAAGGCAATGAGGTATTATGATCAGTCAACCAATTGTCAATGAAAGTCAATAATGTAAACAGATAAATTGGAGGTAATTCAAAGATCAGATCAGATAAAACTAAACCATTCACCCTATTGTTGAGAAGAAAATTTTTTCTACCAAATAGAGACCCCTTAAGTTTTTTTCTTATGATATGTAATTTCTCACATCAGAACTTAAGGTATTATTTGTATAAACAAAGGATGGGGAATTCTTCATTACTGGCTTAGTACACATTTTTAATAAAAAAAATCATGATTTTTCCCGGACTATTTTCATAACATTATTTTCATGTTCCAGACTCAAGGTCATATGTCAAATGATATGGCCTGAGCAGAAATATTTTTCTTAACTGACATAGAGCAACAATGAAGTTCTGCAGTTTATTCAGTTGCAACATTTTACTGACTCAACCAAACATACAAATATGCTAATTTATGACATGCAGCCAATAAAAACCTCCTTCAAATCAACAGCATTACATCTTTTTCAGAAAAATACAAAGTCTTTGATTTTTTCTATGGTTAGTGTGCAAAGAACTAATTAGTCAGTGTTTCTTGTCTGTTGGGTCAACAATAAAGCAATTTTACAAGAGATTTCACCCAACATGCCTTCAGTCTGCAATTTTTGTCATTATAACAGGGAGAAAGGCATTTAGGACCATCAGTTATATTTTATTTCCCTAACAGTAGGTTTTTCTTCTCCTTTCCTTCACCTGCTCTTAATGGTTTGCTAAAAAGACAATTGA